ATTCTCATTGTTATACTTCATTACTTTATAATTATTATTATATATAAATTTATTAATTCTATAATTATATAAATTAGAATCCAACTTTGTTAATTGCTTATTTATTTGAAAAAATGTCTAGAAAACAAAGTACAAAAGATATTTTAAAAAGTATTAACCAAAATTAAGATATACCTCCTTATCAATCTAAACCTTCTACTTCATTTAGCTAATCTCCTTTTTTATCTACTGAATATTCTGCCACAACCTATAGAACTTGTACAAAAATTCAATATTATTATAAAAAATATAATAGCAAATTAGTCTATTCTCGTACAAAAGATAGTTACTCTCTACAAAAAAGTTAACAAAGACAACAAAAAGACAACAAACAGAATTATTTAAGTCAAGTCAAGTAACCCAAATAACTTCAGAATAAATTATAAATCCAGAAGATATAGAAATAGCCAAAAGCATAGATGAACTTTTTCTAGGCTTTAATAAAAAAAAAATATCTTTTTTACTAAAAAATGCTACTTAACTTCAAACATTTCAGTAAACCTATCTGATAAAGAGGGTTCAGCCACAACCTTGGCAGATGAAAGTTATAGTGATAATAATATGCTGAACTATAAAAATAGTAATGATTCATTATTTAATAGTTCAGAAAATAATATAAACTATAGCAATGTTAATGAATTCAAAAATTATTCTACTTCAGAAATCGATTACAACTGTGAAAATTATTCAGATTCTAGCTCATTTCTCGATTATGAATAGATAATGCTTTGGTTATTAAAGTTTCAAAGCAAATTTAGCATACCAAAAACTACTACTGAAACATTAATTAAATTTATCAAGTTGGTATTAGTTAAAATCAGTGATAAGGAGCAATTCAGAACTTTTCCAAATTCAATTCATAAGCTTCAAAAATGTCTTAAAATTGGTGATAATTTTAAAACATACATGGCATATCCTAAGTACAATAAGTTATATCAAAAAAATAATATTATAAAGTCACGAGATAGTGGATTATCAGTAATAAAAAAGTGCAACCATATTGAATTTTCAAATATAGTTAGATCTCAACAAGTAACTATATGTAATTCAGTCTTGGCGGCTCAAAATAAACTGATTTTAATCTATCCTATTTCAAGCATTAAAAGTTAGCTTGAAAAGATATATATGTAATCTAATTTTGAAGAATTATGTCATAAATAGATCTAACATAAAATAGCTAGAGGTATTTATTTATTTTTAATTTTCTTTTCTCTTTCTCTATATACTATATATATATATATATAATTTTTTTTTTAAAAAAAAAATATTTGTTATTATATATATATTAATTCTTTCTACTTTATTTAGTTCTTTCTGATATTTATGATAGTCGAATTTGGCAAAAATTTGCTGATAAAGAGTCAGGTAGTTAGTTTTTTACATAAGTATTAGCAGATACGCATTTAGGTCTAATGCTAAATTTAGATTGGTTCCAGCCTTTTGATAGAACCCAATATAGTATTAGTGTAATTTATGTAACTATTTGCAATTTGTCAAGAAAATTCTATTTTAAGGTCGAAAATGTTATGATTCTTGATATATTGCTAGAACTGAACGAGGTTCACTTGCATTATATTAACCACTATATCATACTAATTGTTGATAAGCTATGTAAATTTTGGGATAGTATCCGTATTCCAACCTATGAGAATCTATTCAGAAAAATAATTCAAGCAGTATTAATATTATGCTCATATAATTTACTTGCAGCTTGAAAACTTTGTAGCTACACTTCAGTATTAGCAGCATAACATCATTGTAAAAAAAAATCTTAGTTTAAAATAGATATCACTACTTCAGTAGTATTGATAATATCGATTCATGGTTTATTGAGCAGAATTTAAGCTAGCACAAACAGGATACTGAAAAGTAAGTATTTTTTAAGAGGTTATACTATTAGTTATACTATGTTTGTTGACTAATTACTAAAGGTGCCAAAGATATAATAACTAGCATATATTCAGTACCTTCAGTAATTAGTTAACTAAATATAGTATAACTGTATTAATTTTTGGCACTTTTACTAGTGATAATATTTAACTAAGCTTTATATTATATTCTTTACAAATCATATTGCAGATGGAGGAAATGCTATACGAAGTCAGATAGAAAACAGCATATAAAACTTACTCGAGTTTAGTAGTCTGAATTATTGCACTTACCGTATTTTAACTCTATTCAGTTTTTAGTAGTTGACCCGATGCATTGTCTATTTTTAGGTATTGCAAAGTAGATTGTAAAGCGGTTGTGAGTCAATAATAATAGATTAGATGCTCAACAACTAAAGCAAATTCAAAATGAAATGTCTAAAAGTCAAGTTCCATTAGACATTGGTCAAATTCCTAGAAAGGTAGATTGTGAAGAGGGATTTGCCAACTTTACTGCAGATGAATGAAAAACATTTATTTTGATTTATACAACACCTTGCTTGTGGGACTACCTTTCAGCACCTGATTAATGAATTCTTACAAATTTTGTTCTAATTTGTACAATATTAATTTGCTAAATAATTGACGTAAATATATTAGATGAAGTTCATAATCGACTTATTCTTCTTAATAAACAGATTGAGAAAGAATATAGAAAAGAATACATTATACCAAATCTCCATTTAGTGCTCCATATCAGTTAATGTTGCCTTGATTATGAACTACTTTATTCATTCTGTTGTTTTTCTTTCAAGCATATGAATTATTATCTTAGTTCACTACCAATAGTCATCACCAAATTGAACTAGAATTAATGTGTCAGCTTATGCAAGATACCATGGTCAATGATTTAATTAACTAGACTAATACAAAAAAGGGTTTAGAGCTGCTTCTAGAATGAAAGACAGTTAGAAGCTTAGCATTTTTTGATAAGTTTGAAACAGATAAGTTATGTTGATTTCTTCAAATGTCTCGAAAAATAGAAACGAACTCAGCTAGTAGCACAGAAAATTTCCTTAGTGAATTTTTAAACCCGTCAAATTTAAATTCAATAATATCAGATGATCTACTGAATATTTTGTTAGATTATTATTCAGATGCTTATCTCGAAAAATCTTTTTATATTCTATTTAATCAATCTGAAAATGAAAATTCTATTATAATTAGACCATTTGGAGATAAATTTAGTCATCTTCGAATTAGTTCAGAAGTATTTGGTTCTACTATATCAGTTCATCACATAAGAAACTCCTTTATAACAGCTAATTTTATTAATCAAAGTAGTGCCTCTCAAGATATATATACGGGCCAGATCTAATATTTTATTCAGCATATTATAGAAATCGATAACAACCAAATTGAACATAATTTGGTATTTGTATGTTAGTACAAACTAGCCTCAAATAGCTATACAAGATTCTTTTTAGGAATTGGTGAAAAGGAGTGATTATGTAATATAGAACTATAGGACAAAGAATTTGTTGCAATTAGTCAGGATTGCATAATACCGATTCATCAAATTTTGAACTGATTTGTAGCTGGATCTTATAAATTAGTATATAAGAAAAACACAAAAGAATATTTCATTACTATACCAATTAATAGAAAAATTAACATGTAATTAGTGTAGTATAATAAAATTTTGTAAAAATCTTCACTGAATATTTTTATTATATCGAGAGTAAATTTATTATAATTATATTACATTTTTAAAAAAATTTATTACTTTATCTTATATCGAGAGTTTATTATTAAAACTTTATTAGGTTATTTGATTTTTAGACTTGCTGATTTTAATTATAATTGTCAATTGCTTATTTTTAAGCCGATTTTATTTTATAATTACTTGATTTTTTTATTTTATATCAAAGTAGATAATTGCTGATTTGAGTTTTTTTTAGTTGATTTTTTATTTAGAAGGTAATTTTTTAATTTTTAAGTTGATTTTATTCTGAATTTTATTTAGTAGTCGATTGTAGATAATTACTGATTTGAGTTTTTTTCAGTTGATTTTTTATTTAGAAGATGATTTTTTAATTTTCAAGTTGATTTTATTCTAAATTTTATTTGGCAGTCGATTGTAGATAATTGCTAATTTGAGTTTTTTTTGGTCAATTTTTTATTAAGAAGGTGATTTTTTAATTTTTAAGTTGATTTTATTCCAAATTTTATTTGGTAGTCGATTGTAGATAATTGCTGATTTGAGTTTTTTTTGGTTAATTTTTTATTTAGAAGGTGATTTTTTTAATTTTCAAGTTGATTTTATTCTGAATTTTATTTGGTAGTTGATTGTAAATAATTGCCGATTTGAGTTTTTTCAGTTGATTTTTTATTTAGAAGGTGATTTTTTAATTTTCGTTATGAGTATATGTGAATTTAGTAGTAGTTGGATGGAAAAGTCAGAATGTATTATAGAGATTTTGGTGTTTG